TACCTTGGCATCTTCCTAACCAGAGACATGAAAGACCTTTACAATGAAAACTACAAAACACTGCTCAACAAAATCAAAGAAGACAGAAACAAATGGAAAAACATCCCATGCTCATGGATTGGAAGACTCAACATTGTGAAGATGTCCATTTTACGTAAGGCAATCTACAGATTTAATGCAATACCCATCAAATTACCAGCAACATTCTTCTCAGACCTAGAAAAAACAATACAGGAATTCATATGGAAATATAAATGACCAAGAATAGCCAAAACAATCCTCAGTAAAAAAAACAAAAACAAAGCAGGAGGTATCACACTCTCAGACTTTAAACTATACTATAAAGCTATAATAATCAAAACAGCCTGGTATTGGTACAAGAACAGGCATGTCGACCAATGGAATAGATTTGAGATTCCAGAAACAAAACCTCAATTTCTCAACCAACTAATCTTCGACAAAATCTCCACCATCCACTACTGGGGAGAGGAGAACCTACTCAGTAAATGGTGCTGGGAAAACTAGTTGACCACATGCAGAAGATTGAAACAGGTACCCTACCTATCCCCATACACAAAAATTAACTCTAAATGGATCACAGACCTAAATGTAAAACCTCAAACTGTAAGAACCCTAGAAAATGCAGGAGACACTCTTATGGAAGTTGGAAGTGGCAACCAATTCCTTATCAAAACCCCAAGTGCCCAGACCATAAGAGATAAGATAGATAAGTGGGACCTCATCAAACTGACAAACTTTTGCAAAGCCAAAGAAACCATCAAGAGAGCAGGGAGACAGCCCACAGACTGGGAAAAAACATCTGCCAACTCCATGTCTGACAATGGCCTAACATCAAGGATCTACAAGGAACTCAAACGTGCTGAAAAGAAAAAACCAAACAACCCCATTACAAAGTGTGCAAAAGATATGAATAGACACTTCTCAAAGGAAGACATATGAGCAGCCAACAGATACATGAAAAAATGTTCAGCTTCACTGGTCATCAAGGACAAGCAAATTAAAACTACACTTAGATACCACCTAACTCCAGTCAGAATGGTCATCATCAATAACTCAAAAATAACATGCTGGAGAGGATGTGGTGAAAAGGGAACACTTCTACACTGTTGGTGGGAGTGTAAACTAGTACAGCCACTGTGGAAATCAGTGTGGTGATTCCTAAAAGTTCTAAAAATGGACCTTCCATATGACCCTGCAATCCCTTGACTGGGAATATACCCAGAAGAACTCAGGTCACTCTATAAAAAAGATACCTGCACACGTATGTTTATCGCAGCATTGTTCACAATAGCAAGAACATGGAACCAACTGTGCTGCCCATCAAAACAGGACTGGATAAAAAATGTGGTACACATACACAATGGAATATTACACAGCCATAAAGAAGAACAGAATCATGAACTTCGCAGGAACCTGGATGGAATTAGAGTTTATAATATTGAGTTTCACAGAAACAGAGTTGAGTATCACATGTTCTCACTCATAAGTGGTCCTTGAACAACTACCGTATTACTATAGGAAAAGGATTGAAAGTAGCGGGAAACTGCAGGGTGGGGGGTGGAGGGTGGGGAGCTGGGATTGACAGTAGTCGAGATCATTGGTCTATATACCTGTCTTTGTACCAATACCAGGCTGTTTTTGATTACTGTAGCAGGAGACACTTATGGAAGTTGGAGCTGGCAACTAACTCCTTATCAAAACCTGAAGTGCCCAGGTCATAAGAGATAAGATAGGTGAGTGGGACCTCATCAAATTGACAAGCTTCTGCAAAGCCAAAGAAACCACCAAGAGAGCAGGGAGACAGCCCACACACTGGGAAAAAAATTGAGCTACAATAATCAAAAGTCTGGTATTGGAACAAGAACAGGCATATAGACCAATGGGGTTGCCACCCCCCAACCAGTCACAGATAGCTCTAGCGGGGGGTCTGGGCTTGCCGGCCTCCGCACCTGGAACTGCAACTTAAAAAATGGAGGCACTGCTCACCTCCCCCCAGACCCCTGAGGTGGGAGGAAAGATCTCCTGCAAAATCAGAGAAAAGAGTCACCGGGGAAGAATGTCCTTGTCTTTGCTTCCTTCCTTCCCCCCTCTCTCCCTTTCTCTTCCTGGTTTTCTCTCCTCCTCCCCCCTTCTCTCTCCTTCTCTCTTCTTTGCTTCCTTCTCTCCCTTTCTCGTCCTTCCTTCTTTGCTTCCTTCCTCCCCCTTTCTTCCTTTCTCCCTCCACTCCTCCCTCTCCTTCCCTCCTCCTCCCTTGCCCCCCTTTCCCCTCTCCCCCCCAGCTAGGTTCCTTTTCATACAAGAGAAGTTCTGCTTTCCAGCTTCCCACTGTGTTGAACTTGCTGACTCATGGTGAACAGAGACATTCCTGTAATACTCAGCTCAAAAGAAGAAATCTTGCACAGGTTGCATGTTTAAGCTTCATTCACAGTAATCCTCGGTCTCAAGAAACCTGGAATGGTTTTGCTGCTAGGCTGGGCAGGGAAGTCTGTGGACCCTCCCAGCCCCTCCCTGCCCCGCACCGGCCTTTGGCCCCTCCCCGCCTCCAGCCCAGCATGTTAAGTAGCGCTGAGACCTGCTACCCAGAGCCGCCTCTGCGCTAGCCATGGCCACCTTCGTGCAGCTCAGCACCAAAGCCAAGATGCCCCTCGTGGGCCTGGGCACCTGGAAGGTAAGGGTGCACGCCTTGGCACACGGTGCTTGCTAGAGGGTGTTGGGTGTTTCCTCCTCTCTGCATTCAGTGGGAAAGCCTGGAGTCCGTGGGTTCTGGAGGGGTGGAGGCGGCCCTGCAGCCTAACCCAGGCTGCTTTCAAACCAGAGTGTTGACTCTGGTTGCAGAGTGCTGGGACTGGCCGTTTCCAGCAGTCTTGAGAGCTTCCTCCAATAGAAGAGGCTTAAAAAAGATTTTGTGAGAGATCATAGTTTTAAGTTTTTTTTTTTCCCTCCTGTTTGGCTTGGCTGGGTTAGAACAAAATCTGATTATTTTGGGTACTATTTCTTTTCTTTCTTTTGGGTGGAAAGACGCTCCCTTCCTGCAAGGTTTTCTTCTTTTTCTGAATCAGTGGCTGTATGCGAGGTTGCATCCGGTGGGCTTCACAGTGCATCAGGGAAGGTGCTAACAACTTCTCACATTCACTGCAGCTGTGGTCACCACAACAGCCCCATGGGGCAGGGCTGTTATTTTTCCCGTTTGCAGGTAAGGGTTAGAGAGGTTTGACGCACCTGATGGTGCCCGCACACCTAGCAGTGGTGGAGACTGCCGGCTGTTGCTGTGGCCATACTCCCATCTGTGGAGCACCCAACTGCAAGCATCTGGGCTATTGAGCGACCGGTTTTCTGCTGGTCTTTGGAAGTTGCAGCGGAGCCATATGCCCTCCACACTGGGGTGCAGCTCGGGACTAACCTGGGTGAGAAGAGACTCGGCCTCGCTCCAACAGGACGCGAGGCCATACTCAACATTCATTCACTTTCCTTCTTTTTTCTTTTGAAAAGTTTTCCAAAGTGTGTTTCCTCCCAGGCACCTCTGGCAGATGGGACCCCAGCAAGGCCTTGGTTTGGAGAAACAGGGCTGTGTGGGAAAGCCTGTTAAAAAGGTGGTCTTGGAATAAGCTGAGTGCATGGTTGCCAAGCATGGTACGATTCCAGCTACTTGGGAGGTGCGAGGATCGCTTGCAGAGTGCTGGGACTGGCCGTTAGGAGTTCAAGGCCAACCTGGGCAACATAGCAAGATCCCATCTCTAAAAAAAGAAAAAAAGTATACACATGATGGGCTTTTTGTTTGGCTTTCAGTCGCCTCCAGGCAAAGTCAAGGATGCTGTGAAGGCCGCCATTGATGCAGGATACCGCCATATCGACTGTGCCTATGTCTACCAGAATGAGCATGAGGTGGGGGAAGCCATCCAGGAGAAGATCCAGGAGAACGCTGTGAAGCGGGAGGACCTCTTCATCGTGAGCAAGGTACGGGGACGTGTTCAGGAGAGAGTGCCGTGTAGGGGCAGGCGGAGTACTTGGCTGGGCTGGTCGCGAGAGCTCGATTCGGGAGCTGGGCTAGCAGTGAGAGTTGTATACACGGGCTGGGCCAGCAGTGAGAGCCCAAACTAGCAGCAAGAGTTGTATATGTGGGCCGGGCCATTAGCAAGAGCACCACGTGTGGGCCAGGGTAGGAGGGCTCTGCATGTGTACTGGACTAGCATTGAGACTCCACGGGTCTTTTCTACACGTCTGTTTCCCAGCCCGCCTCGCTTCTGCCTTTATGGCATCCACAGGCACCGTGATACCCACACTCCAGACCATCCTTGGTTTTCTTCAGATGCCCCACCTACCTGGGCTGATTTTCCCACCATGGGCATGGCCCATGAGCCCACAGTGCCCTTGGCGCCCTGACTGCTGTCATGGGATTCACCTGCCCCTTGGCGGGCAGAGCTCAGGGTGCAGTCAGTCTTGGTCCTGAAGCTTGCCTGTCGGCTCAGTGGCTATAGCCCTGCGGTTTTCAGCCAGGGGAAACTCTGTAAAACAGCCAGGGCATTTTTTAAGGGTCACATAGGAACTTTTTCTTTCTGTCTCATAAAAGGCAAGTTATGAAGTGTTATTTTAAGGGGGAGGGTGCTGGGCAGGAGGGGACTGAGAATCCCTGGGTCTGGATTGTACAAGTCATAAGACACGTGAGCATGGATGCTCAGAGAGTGCACGCAGCTGGTAGGATGCACAGACCCCACATGTGCAGCAGCCGAGTCCAGATAGAGTCCAGAGAGCTGTCACCCAGGTTCTGGCAGGCTGGAGGATATAGGAGTGCAGGTAACGAGCCATCTGCTCCTAAGTCAAAAGTCTTGAAACGCAAAAGCTAGACGCAATTGCTGCCTTCAGAGAGCCAACAGCTGGGAAGGGAATAGATAAAACAGGTGATACTGACTTCATGACCACATTTGCTCAGTGATGTGAGATATGTATTAGGTACTAGGAGAGCTGACAAGCAAGTCACCTTCAACACGTAAGACATGTCACTGATTGCTGAGCCTGGTGACCTTCCGTGCCGGATCATGTGTCTTTACCAGTTTTGTTACAAATGGTTCGTCCCCATTTTGAGGCGTGCAAATCAAATGACAGGGAAAATGGGCCAGGAGTGGTGTGGTTCACGCTTGTAATCCACCACTATAAGAGCTCAAAGTGGGAGGATCACCAGAGGCCAGGAGTTCAAGACCAGCTTGGGCAACATAGTGAGCCCTAATCACTACCAAAAATTAAACAAAGTAGCTAGACGTGTTGGGACGCACCTGTAGACCCAGCTACTCCCAGGAGATCAAGGCTGCAGTGAGCCGTGATCACGCCACTGCACCCCAGTCTGGTGACAGAGTGAGACTTTGACTCAAAAAATAAATAAAAGGCAGGGAGGATGGGTGTGGTGTGGCTCCCGGTGTCCTGGGTGTGAATGCTCATGGCTGTACTCTTCACAGCTGTGGTCCACCTTCTTTGAGAAGCCCCTGGTGAAGGAAGCCTGCAAGAAGACCCTTCAGGACCTGAAGCTGAGCTACCTGGATGTCTACCTGGTTCACTGGCCACAGGGTTTCCAGGTTTGAGCCCCTCCCTTCTAGCTTCTGAGCAGATGCCAGGAGATAGCACTGTGCCAGGGCTGGGAGGTGGCATGGGCTGGAAGGGAGGCCTTGTATGTTGTAACTGTGAGCTATGGGTGGTCTGGAGGAGATGGTAGAACAGAGAGATGCCAGCCTGGAAGAATGACTGAGGACACGTGTGCCCACTTGGGTAGCCACGCCTGGGTTTTTCTCACAGTTATGTCTGAGAGAAACCTTGATTTCTGGCCAGCTAGACAAGCTGCAGCTGCCATGTGGCCTCTCTCTGTATTCCATGCCCAGGGTCCCCTCCCTGGAGAACTCGGTTATTTTACATAATGATACCTCAGGGCTTGGTCCTTTGGTTAACCAGGACACACCCTGGGAGTGGCATCTTGAAGAAAAGCCCAAGTGGGGTGATGCTGGAAAGTGACCAGTCCTCAGAGAAGAGACAGCCCTCACCTGGGCTCTGCTCCTGCCTGCCCCGAGGGGTGGGAGGAACACAACATCCCCCGCTCACACCCAAGACCTAGTGGGCGATGGTGGCCTGCTGTCCTGCCTCCATGCTTAGATGCTGCAAGGATAGAAGTTGGCGAATGTCTTCCCCCTGAAAGTCACACCCTAAGGTTTAATCCTTAGCTAGTGGGCCTGAAATTAAAGTTTGCCCCGAGTGTAGTTGGGGTCTGAGTGCACATGAGGTTAATGTCCATGGTGATAATGGTGGCTTCTGGAATGTACTAACCGTGGATTTTAAAGTCAATCCAGCAGTTTCCAGAATATAAATATTAACATTCTACAGTAAATTGGTATAGAAATTTTGATTAATTTTTTTTATTATTGCCATTTTTAAGAGATGATGTCTTTCCCCCTGACTGGAGTGCAGTGACATGAACATGGTTCACTGCAACCTCATACTCCTGGGCTCGAGCGATTCTCCCACTTTGGCCTCCCAAGTAGCTGCAACAACAGGCATTGGCCACCACAACTGGCTAATTTTTATTTTTTTGTAGTGATTGGGTCTTGCTTTGTTGTCCAGGTTGGTCTTAAACTCCTGAGTACAAGCAATTCTCCTACCATGGCCTCTCAAAGCACGGAGATTACAGGCATGAGCCACCATGTCCAGCCTGTATAGCGATTTTATTTAAACTATTTTTTTTTTTTTTGAGTCAGAGTCTCACTCTCTCTCCCAGACTGGAGTGCCGTGGTACGAACACTGCACTGCAGCCTCAGACTGCTGGGCTCAGGCAATCCTTCTGCCTCAGCCTCCTGTAAACTCACTCTTGCAGTGTGTATTTCAGTGCTTGAGAAAATGGTACAGACATGGGTATTTAGGACAAGTCAGGTTCCTGAACCTTGTTGAACAGACCCAGGGGCCTGATGCAGATTCCAGTAAACTCTTTGTGCTGCATTTGCAGGCTGGGAAGGACTTTATCCCCAAGGATGATAAAGGCAATGTCATCGGTGGTAAGGCAACATTTTTGGACGCCTGGGAGGTAGGTTTCGCTTCTTTTAAGTGTGCTGGGAGAGAGACTCTTTCCTCAGTCACTGCAAGGTTTCACACTGGTTGAATGAGCCCGTGTGCTAGAGGTTGTCTTATTCCATCTCTAGATGATCTCGTCATCTTGGGCTTCCGGGTCCTTCTGACAGTACTTACATTGTGAGGCGAACACTGAGTCCTCAAATGAGACTGGAAATCTGATGTCTCCCACTTTGGGGGATACACAGGTTGTCCTCAAGCCGGGGGGGGGGGGCATTTGGAACAGGGGTTTTTGCCTGGGTTTGCACGTGTTAGGAGAGTAACTGGGGGGAGTTCCTTAACTCCCATAAGCCTCAGTTTCCCCTCTAAAAAAAAGTCTTGTAAGGCACACTGACAGGATATGGTAAAGATTAAGTTAGCTAACATGCTAGAAACTGTAGTAATCAGTCCACTGAGTCATCCTTCCCTATGGGTAGAGTTATTATCCTCATCGACAAATAATGACATTGAGACTTGAGTGACTTGTCCAGGTCACATAGCAAGTGTGTGGCAGAGCTAGGATTGGACCCAGGCTCAGGTCTGACTTACAAGTTTAGCCCCCAAAACTGTCAGCATGGTGCTTGTCAGGGAGTGAACATACATCCAGAAATTGGGAAGCATGGGCACCCTGCTTCTTAGATCAAATCGCAGCCCATTCAGTATAATTCATTTTCAAAATTGAATTTAGGGAAGGAAGTTTTTCCTCTGTTCATTTTTCTTAAAACATTACATCCTTTTGCAAATGCTAGCAGAGAGCAGAGTGAATGAGCAAGTTGTAAACTAACAGTGACAGAAGATCCAGGAGTTACTGCTGTGTCAGCTGTCTATGTGGGGCACATGTTGTTGCCAAGTTTGCATGATGGTTTACAACTTGAAAACAGTTAAGCCTCGCCTCTCTGAAATGCTTAGCATTGATAGGATTCAATTAAATGCCACTTTTCTGTGGATTGCTTGTTCAACAGTATGTATCCACAAGCACTGTTGAACGTTAGCAGCTAGCTGCAGGAAAATGTAGATAGTGAAACTAACGTCATAACCAAGGGAGAGGGTCATGACACAGACGGGGAATCATTTCATGATGGCAAGGTCAGCAGTCCTGTAAGGGATCTGAAAGGAATTGTCTTGACAAGTACATTTGGCCCTCTGTATCTGTGGATTCTGAATCCATGCATTCAATCAGCTGCGGATTGAAAATATTTGGGAAAAGATAATACAAATCAAAAATCCAGGATGACAGCTATTTACGTAGCATTTATATTGCATTGGGGATTATACAAGTCATCTAGAGATGGGAGGATGTGGGCAGGGCGCATGCAACTACCACTTAAATCAGGGACTTGAAAATCCATGGGAGGCCCTGGAACCCACCGATACTGAGGGACGCCTGGAAATATTACATTTAACTACTGGCAGCAGAAAGCCCATTAAAGGGAAGGGTGGAAAAAGCTTTCTGGATTTCCATGAATGGGTTTTAAAGATTTCTGAAGCTCTCTGGGTTATATGAAAGGCAAAAAGACAAAAGTCTCCCAGCCATACTAGAGAGCTATCTGTGGTGTTATCATTACTGCAATCTTGAACAGTTACTCTCAGTTTCTCCAGGTGTACCTCTCCAGGGACACCACAGCCTGGTGGATTTGCTTAGCAAGGATATGTCATTGCAGTAAAGTTCTGTAGGTCAAAATTGGCAATAGCAAAATGCAATGATTTTTGTAACTGAGAACCATACTTAATAAATTATTGAAAATATAACGTCTCACGAGCAAGAGACTGTACATAGAAGTAAATCAAATATTCTTGGGAAAATCTAAGGAAGGCATCAATTTACCATATGTATCTGCTACCTTCCTAATATGATTAAGTATGGATACATGCTAAAATGTGACAGGACACATACTAGAAACAGGGTTCAGACTACAAGTTGGAACATGCTGATCTTAAAAAAATTTTCATATCTTTTTGCCTTAATGACCACACAAGTCATTATCTAACTACATAGTCTTAAATACTTGTTTGATATCTTATTAAAATAAATGTATTAAGCTTGACCTTTCAAGAAAAGATATTGCCAGTGAAAAAATCAAATTTTAATTTAATTTTTAAAAAATTGAGTCCTTATAGCAGTAGGTCTTTCTCTTGATAATCTTAACTAGAGAAAAAGATTAATATATTTATTCTCCTGCCATGAATGGCTTTCTGTTAGGGAAAAACTTCAAGTTTTTTTCCGAGGTTTATCCGGTTTAAACTCTACCCCGAAGGGCCCCAGGCAACTGCAGTCCATGGGGATCCCTTTCTTCTCTGGTCCCTCGCACTCTCACGTTTTCTGAGGCAGCCTCAGCTGATTGGTCCTCAGAAGGGTACCCTAGCACGTTAACTGGGCTATAAGAATCCTGGAAGGCCTCCTGCGGTGGCTCACGCTTCTAATCTCAGCTATTTGGGAGGCTGGGGCAGGAGAATGACTTGAGCCTAGAAGTTGGAGACCAGCCTGGGCAACATAGTAAGACCTTGTCTCTACAAAAAGATTTAAAAATTAGCCTGGCATGGTGGTGTGCACCTGTAGTCCCAGCTACCCAGGAAGCTGAGGTTGGAGGATCACTTGTGCCCAGGAGGTCAAGGCTGCAATGAGCCATGATCGTGCCACTGTACTAAAAATAATAATAATAAAAGAATCCCAGAAGAGGGAAGCACACTGTGAACTTTTATATCCAACAATTCCTGGACTTGGGTGTATAAACAGTGGCTACAAAGCATTTATTATTTGGGCTGCTGCCAACACATCTGGTAAATTTGGGCAAGTTTGGAAAATGTCCTTAACAGGGCTATGGCAAGCTGGGGTCCCCATTGTCCCTCTCAGACTGCCCCAAGGTGTCCTTTCTGTGACAGGCCATGGAGGAGCTGGTGGATGAGGGCCTGGTGAAAGCCCTCGGGGTTTCCAACTTCAACCACCTCCAGATTGAGATGCTCTTGAACAAGCCTGAACTAAAGCATAAGCCGGTGACTAACCAGGTAAGTTCTGCCTGGCAAAAGTGTAAGGGCCTGGCCCTGTTGCTTCTTAAACGCTGGAGGCAAGCTTAGTGCTGTGTGCTGAGTCTCACTTCAGGGCCAGGGACCAGGATGCCTTGGGGGAGGCGTGAGGAGGCTCTGAGGCCTGGTTTGGCAAGTGAGTCAGTGGGCAGGTGTGGACGCTTTGTAGCTTGATGCTCTGTGCTGTGTGTAGAACTCCCTATGCACAGCTTGAAAAGCAGCTGGTATCCCTGGGCTGAGGACCATTGGCTTTTGCAGGTGGAGTGTCACCCGTATCTCACACAAGAGAAGCTGATTCAGTACTGCCACTCCAAGGGCATCGTCGTCACGGCCTACAGCCCCCTGGGCTCCCCAGATAGACCTTGGTGAGGTGCCTGAGTAGTGGGCCTTCCTCTTGATAATCTTAAAAATACTTGGCCGGGTGTGGTGGCTCATGCTTGTAATCCCAGCATTTTGGGAGGGTAAGGTGGGAGGATTGCTTGAGCCCAGGAGTTCAAGACCAGCCTGGGCAACATAGTGAGACTGCGTCTCTAGAATAAAAAGTTAGTCTGGTGTGTTGCACACTTGTAGTCCCAGCTACTTGGGAGGCTGAGGTGGAAGGATCGGCTGAGCCCAGGAGGTTGAGGCTGCAGTGAGGAATGATCATGCCACTTCACTGTAGCTTGGGCAAGAGAGTGAGAGCCCACTCCGAAAAGAATACTGTTTTATAATTGTGTAATGTTGGTATGCGACCATAAGCCACTGGAAAGAAAAATGTGCCTAAGGTAATATGTCTGGCACACCCAAATGAGATGACAGGGAAGAAAATGGGAATTAAAAACAAAAAAAAAGGCAACATGTCTGATCCTCTGCAAACACTCCTGTTCAGCCACCCAGGGCTGGACCAGCTCTTACAAAATGCTGGGCCCGTGGGAAGGACTCAAGGCTTTTCAGGTCCTCCTGCCTGTCTCCTGAGGGAGAAGCCAGGATGATCAGCCTTGAGGTGACTATGATGATTGTTCCCGTCGGCCATCTTTCTGCCCCTAGGGTCAAGCCAGAAGACCCTTCCCTGCTAGAGGACCCCAAGATTAAGGAGATTGCTGCAAAGCACAAAAAAACCGCTGCCCAGGTACAGTGTGTGTTCTTATCCAGTAATGCATTCTCCCAGTCATGTGCTTTATTTCTTGTGTTGTCTTCAGTGGCCTCCCTGAAGAGGAAGCAAACAGGAGTGCAGCCCACTAAGGTGCTTCCTCGAGGGTCTCTTAGGACCTTAGGGGTGTGAAGGCTGTTGCCAGAACAAGGATGGCATCTGTCCAGCAGCTTCCTGGAGGCCCCAGAGCCCAGCTACAAAGCGTGGCTGGGGAACCTGGAGACCCAGGTGCAGTTGCCAGCTCTACCCCATCGGCCTGGACGCCCCAGCCGATGTTTTTATTCTTAAAAGAGGAGACTTATGGCTGTCCCTAGGATTTAGCGGGAGAGTCAAGAGGAAGCCTGGCCTGTGTCTCTCTCAGCTCTTCAGTGCCTGGTCAACATTAGCTCTTGTACCCAAAGCCACCGTGAGCTACAGAGAGAGTTTATTTTTCCTTTATGTAAAAGGAAGGGTTCTTGTAGATAAGTGAAAACATGATACCCCTTTTCTGCATAGATTCTGATCCGGTTCCATATCCAGAGGAATGTGGTCACAATCCCCAAGTCTGTGACACCAGCACGCATTGTTGAGAACTTTCAGGTAAGATCTTGGCCCTGGTGGTCTTCAGTGAAGCAGGAGATGGGGAGGCTCTCAAGGGTTTCTCATCCCATCCTAGGGTCATCTGGGGCTCTTCCCTGGCCCACCACCCAGTCACTTCTCAGTCCAGTAGAACTCAGATGAGTGACCCATGGGCTGCAGACGGGCTGGGGGCTCAGCTGGTAAAGCCCTCTCAGGTCTGAGCAGCTCTGGGAAGACCCCCGGTGGCCCCTGGACAGTTGGTTCACACACTGCAGAAGAGTAGCCCATCACGGTCTGCCACTTCCCAGCATCAGAGGAGGTGTGGCCCCTGAATCAGGAGCACAGATGCTGCACACATCTGCAGTTTAGCACCCGTAGGCCTGGAGCACTGAGCCCCACATATACTGCAGCCTTCATGTGGGACATCCTTTGGAGAACATGTTGTCTCCAGTGGCTGTAACGGGAGAGATGCCCATGGCGGGGCCAGGCTGTGGGTGTGTGCTCCTTCTTGCTAGCATGGCTGGTGATCTCTGACCATCAGACCACAGCACGCCTGCCTCACCAGGAATGTGTGGAGACTCTTGCCCCACCCCCACCCCCAGGTCTTTGACTTCAAGTTGACTGATGAGGAGATGACAACCATCCTCAGCTTCAACAAAAACTGGCGGGCCTGTGGCCTACAAAAGTAAGTCGCAAGCCAGGAGGAAGGTTGCCGGGAGGTTCTCTGAGTGGGCAGAGTGTTCCCTGGGAGGATGAGATGGCGGCTGGACCTGCTGTTACTTTCAAACACTGTTTTCCAGAAGTTTTGCAAATTAAAGTTGGAGTGTCTGGGGGCATCGTGAGGAGGGAGCCTCTCTAGTGGCGGCTCATTGTCTGAACTTCGGAGGCAGAGCTGAACTTTCAAGCGGGTACTGTCACTAGGCAGGAAGCAGGCTGTCCATTCACTCGCTCTGATATGTATTGACCATCTACTGCGTGCCAGGCATTTTCCAGGAGCTTGGGATTTCAGACTACACAGTTCCTGCCTTCACAGGCTTATATTCTGGGAGGGAGGATGGAAGTAAATCAACTCAAAATACCACATATGTTAGACAGTAACATGCTGTGTAGAAAAATAAGAGTCAAATGGGTGGGTGAGGGGAGGGGTGGTGTGGGGTGGGTTGGAGGCTGCTTTGCTGATAAGATGGTAGATGAGTCAAAACCTACAGGGGTGTGAGATGAGCTGTATGGCTATTTGGGGGAAGAGCATTCTTGACCACGATAACAGCAGGCTCAAAAGCCCTGGGGTGGGTGGTGTTTAGAGAATTTGGGTAAGAATGAGTGAGGGAAGGAATGGGAGGTCAGAGAGAGGTGTCGGGCTCAGAGTGTGCAGAGTGGTGTGGACTACAGATGCTGAATCGGGCTTTCAGTGAGCTGAGAAGCCACTGGAGGATTTTGAGTGGTTGAGAGGTGGTGGGAGACTATTTTAGTAATCTGGGGGAGAGGACAGTCCCTGGGCCTGGGTGGTGGTGGCAGAGATAAGGAATGGTCAGATTCCAGACAGACTGGGACATCAGAGCCAACTGAATCTGCTGACACATACGGAATCGCGGATGCCTCCATGTTGTTGTTTAGTTTGCCAAGTGACACGAGCACGGAAGCACCATGTGGGTGAGGACTTTGGGGACTTGATCTCAGACCTGTTTGTGAAGCCTCTGAAATGTCTGAGGGGCGTCGGGCATCAGGCAGTGGGGTGTCAGTGTGGGATTGGGAGTACAGATCTGGGTTTTGATGAATGTTGGCCATTAAGAGCACATAGTGGTCACTGAAGCCACAGGGCTGGATAAGCATACCCAGGAGAGTGAGTTTCCAAAGAACAGAAGATTGAGATGATGCCTTCCCAGAACATACTCTCTGTCAGTTATAGCACTCTCCAGTTGCTGGCATTCTTTTTTTTTTTTTTTTTTTTTTTGAGTTGGAGTCTCACTCTGTCTCCCCG